CTGGATGAACACAGCAGGCCAAGCAGCATCAGAGGAGCAGGAAAGCTGATGTTTCGGGCCTAGACCCTTCAGAAAATGAAGGAGGGTCTAGGCCCGAAACGTCAGCTTTGCTGCTTGGCCTGCTGTGTTCATCCAGCTCTACACCTTGTTATCTCAGATTCTCCAGCATCTGCAGTTCCTACTACCTCAGTACTGTAATAGTGATCTGATTTGTTTCTATTGATTTGAAGGCTAAATATTTTGGTCGGACACCAAAGATAACTCCCCTGCTCTTTGAACAGTCATAGAAGATCTTTAACATCCACCTGTAACAGCAGACAGGCTGTGGTTTAACATTTCCTCAAAAGAGATAGCACTTGCAGTTGTAATTGCATGCAAACCATGAGTGTTGTGCTCTGGTCCTGAAGTGGAGCTTGAACTTCAAACTCTCTGACTCAGCCAAGAATGCTGCTTAGTCACATGAGGCCATTCAGCCCCTAAAACCTGTTTTGCTTTTATGATCATACTTGATCTTAATTCTATCTGTCTGCTTTAGTTCTGTAATCCTTCTCTATAAAAAACCTACTGTTTCTGTTTTCAGATTTTTTGGCGAGAGTTTTGGATTTCAGTTGTCTTGTGTGATGTGTTCACACCAGCCCTGGCCGAGCTCTAATTTGAAGGTTCTGAGGTCTTGTGATGAATTAATATTGCAGTTAGTGTCTACTGATTTAGATTTTCTTCTCGGTCTCTCTCTCTCTCTCTCTGTCTCTCTGTCTCTGGCACTTCTCTTCACCGCACCCCCACCTTTTCCACCACCTCCTCCCAGATTCCAAGCACCAGCTGAAATCTCTGGCCTGCACAAATAATTATCCATCCTCGGGTGCAATCATATGCTGAACTTTGTCAGGGTACTAATCTTTGGGCATCGCAGCAAAACTTTACTACTTACCTCCTGCCCTGCCCCCACTCCCATTTAAAGTCCCTGTAATCTTGCACCAAACAGAAACAGTTACTACACATTGATTAATTCTATTTCTCTCCTCCCATCTTCACCCACCCACCCCAATCTCCTGGGTTCTCTGATCAGGGTGGGGAAACTGTAGCTTTCTGCAAATATAATGTGCTCCAGCTGCAATTGGTCAGTCAGTTCAGCTTAGCTGTCTGTTCTGCACCATGTCTGTGTAGCGGAGCATCTGTATCCTGAGGTACAGATCATTCTGCACTGCCTTTTTATAATTTCATTACTGTAATAAATGTTCATGTGTAGGAAAGGAACTGAAAACTTCCTATTTGGGTATATAGTTTTCATAAAAACTTAAACTGAGCACTACAGCTGTTTCCTCAAGCTTCTAGTAGTTTTTGGATGATGCAAATGGGTAGAGATAGTGATGAAATGACAATGAGGCACCCAGATATTATGCTGTAAGTTCTGTGAATAATATGCCACTCCTTCTCTGATATGTATCAGAAATGAGTTACAACAATTTAAAATCCAAATCAGGTTGTATTGCATTAATTTTCATTAGTCATTTTTTGAGTAAGATTCACTATCAAATGCAAATTCGGTATTAGTTATTGACAAAAGTCAGCTCTTAAGTAATGCATTTTGGTATAATAGACATAAAAGATGGTTTGCAGACAAAATGCAGCAATAACTGAAGTTCTAGACACCAAGGCCAAAGATGCTAACAATGCAGTACATGGTCTTGTTCTCCCATCTGACAGTGCAGCTTCCTAAAAACAAAAATAGCAGTCAGTGATAATTACAAAATCAGGTAAGAGAAGTGCAAAAAAAATGGTAAAACATTTTGGCGATAGTACATTTAACAATATTTACTGTGTAGTGTTCATTTCCTTAAGGATCAGTTTTCATTAGAACTCTTTCCTCATTCAGACATGAGGACCAGTGTCTATTGTCAATTCTCTGTGAAGGTGATGGTGAGCTTGAATTGCTGCAGTGTGAGACACGATATCACACTGCTCTATTTCTGTTGCGGGTTTTATACCACTGAGTAGGTGGGCCATTTCTAGAGGGTAGTTAAGCTGTGGTGGATCTGGAGTCATGTGTATGTTTTATTTTTGGTCTGGAGTTTGTGATGACAAAGACACCAAAACTGACGATAGCTAGCACTGATCCACTGAAACTGACAGCAAATCTGGAGTCTGCAGCTGCGCTGAGCAAAGCAGAAATCCAAAAGTTGTTGTGATTCCATGTTTTACCAGAGAGTGAACTATAGAGGTCCTACCACAATAGAAATCAACTGAATTGATTAACTTTCACTTCTTCTGCTACTAGTTTTATAGGACCCCTTGAAAACATTACTTCCATGCACCTTCACTGCCCCTTAAGTTGGATTTTATACTTGTAGAACATCATTTCTCCCGAGTTCCACATTTAAAAATATTTACCATTTGGTTCCTAACTTAATCCAATCATTAAATTCACTCTGACAATTTAAAAGTGAAAGACTAAGTGCTTTTAACCTTATGTTTTACTGTATGAAAAATGCAGTTGGCTGTTGAATGTCATTGCTGCACACCATTCACCCCAGTGTCCAGATGTTAACTGCTTTTGGAAATGGGAAAAATCACAGTAAAGGAATCTACAGAGCTTTGTAAATGGCTTCAGAGATAGTAAGAACTGCAGATGCTGGAGTCAGATAACAGTGTGGAGCTGGAGGAACACAGCAGGCCAGATAACATCAGAGGACCAGGAAAGTTGACGTTTCGGGTTTTCTTCAAGGTCCTGACCCGAAACGTCAACTTTCCTGCTCCTCTGATGCTGCCTGGCCTGCTGTGTTCCTCCAGCTCCACACTTATCGTTGTAAACAGCTTTCTTTGAAGTCAGTAGTGTGCTGCTAACGATAAAATCTGGTCCTTTTTGTCCTGTTGGCACATTCACACTGGCGATGTACTTTGTACAATAACTAATTTGGTATGCTTTAAGAGTAGACTGAGTACTGAGTTCACATGCAGGGCAAACTATTATGATGTACGATGTAAAATTGATCTCTGAAGCTGTTCCTGTTGGCTTTGGTGAGAAAACTACACAAATGGGCAATAAACCACAAGGACTCAAATTTCATACCCACCTTAGATTAGATCACTCTATATTGGAGATGAGACTCCAGTTGAATCGGTTTCTAGCTCCTAATAATGAAGTGCCCCCTGCTGGACAATGCTGTGTCTGCCTAATATGGCCATAGTCAGCATTAAAAGCTGAGCCTTTTGATACTCAGTTTAGATTCCCTTTAATGAAAAGCTATTAACGAATCATTTTGGGATGTTGACTGTTGTGGATCTATACTTCATTGAATTTCAGCCAAATTAGATAAAACTAGAAAAATGTCTGAATTGTCATGTTCAGTGAGAGCATAGTCTTATACTAGACTTGACCTTGGATTCCATCAATGGAAGAGTGAAAATATTGTTCTTCATAGTTATGTTATTAATTTGGTGTGTTCACTAGAGCATGCTACAGTGAAGTCAACTAGTAACTTAAGATTGTGTTGGTAGAATCTAATACTAACTTTGGATAAGTACATATTAGTTGAAATGGTAGCTTGGATTTTACAAATTTGTGACTATGCTCACTGCTTTCCACAAAGAATGCTGTCTTAATAAAGATTGAGCAATCTTTTGCAGTGTGGAGCTCCCTTTTCCCAACTCTTAATAACCTGATGGCTAATGAAGAGGATCTCCAGGTGTCCAGGACCAGTGATGACATCAAGTAGCAAAGCAAACCATCTCTAAGAATTCCTGAATAGCAAATAATGCACTGACTGTGTCCTTTTTATCATTTTGCTCTTTGTAAAGTGTGTTTGAAAGAATTGGCTCATGCTGGAGTAAATGAAGAAGTTTAAATAAATTTAAGGATAGAATTTATCATGAAAATTGATTATTCAAAGTTAAGTTTGCCAGGTCAGAAGGGTTGTTCAGAAATTATAGTTTATATTGCCATGTGCATTAGAACTAGGTTTTTAATTTTTGTGATATTATGTCTTGAAATTGGAAATTCTCATTGTCTACAGAAACCTCAACAGTGTACATTGTTGGTTGGATGGATTTGTTGACTGCAGCGACTGAGTTCTGTCATTTAATTGACAGATCCATTGACACTTTAAGCTGCTATCTATTTTGCACGGAAATAGTGAATGCCAGCAGTTCCACTGTAGTCATAACTGAAAAATCCAGGGCCACTGTTTCAGCAGAGTTCTTTGTAGATTAGTGTTGGGACTTTTCACAAACTTAGCCATCAGAAAATTCCATTAATTTGAAACCGAACAAGAGATGCATTTTACACCTTCAACTCCGCCTATGTGCAATTAATTGCAATCATCTACTACTTCTTCCACTAGTAATGGATTTAAAGTTTCGGCAAAGTAAGTAGTGATGGTTTTAACTGAATAAATTAGCTTTTCTTTCTTACCATCGACAGAATTGTCCCAGAAGCATGAACTAGCAGTATGCAAGCCTGCTCCATTCTTTTGCATTATAACACAGGTTACTGAAAGTGGAGAGGAAAAACAAAAATTGAGTCCGCCAATAACACTGAACCATTGTCTCTTGCTATTATGAAAGTGTTATCTCTTCACTGATCTCATCAAATAAACTCTGGTGATTACCAAGGTTAAACGTACTGAGCATACATAGTATTAGACTTGCCTGTGCAAAAAAGATTTCCCAGATGTTTATAAAAGGAGAATACATCTTTCAATTGCCGAGTGTTTAAGCTCCTGTTACGTTCAATTAAATAAATGTTCCACATCTCAAATGCCATAACCGTACATTTAAATTATTGCTAGCAGTTTGAGTTCTGTACCAAGTGGAATAAGGATCCAGTCTGGCTGAATGTACAACTTCAATTAGCCACAATCACTCAAGTTCTGTTTCAAAGGATCGTTGGAAATTTTCAGCAATATTCTATTATAGTAAACTCAGTTACTGCATTTACAAAACTGGGACTTTATATAGTGAAATTGCTTTGAAATTTTCTGGACAGAAATGAGTTTGCTAAAGGGAGGGGGAACTAATTTCCCATAATTTTATAGGTGACATTTGTTAGAAGAATCAGTGTTAAACTATTTTTTATGTATATTGAAACAATGTGAGAATCAGACTCGGTCTAACTCATCTTTTCAGTGAGAATACTTGTACTGTCATAAATGTGTAATCTTTTTGCTTACTGACTTGATTTGTCTTTGCCACATGAAAAAAACTGAGCCATGTTTAAATACTTAATTGCTCACCAATGTATTTAAAAGGCTTGGCCAATTTGGTGAGTTGATTGAGACATTGCTCCACTACTGCTGATGTCCACTGATTCACTTTGTTGTGTTGGTAGGCATTCCCTCCAATTGTATTTTCCACTGCCTGCAATTTTAAGAGGGACAAGATCAACAAACCAAAACTGATCAGCTCAGCATGTGAAATGTTACAAAAGTATAATAAAAACACTCACTTCTTTAATGATGGTGCTTACATCGTCAACAATAAAAGCTACCTGCAAGACAATAGAGAAACATAAGGTGCCAAACTGACCATATTCAGTAAATTTAATGCAAGTGTTTTCCAGTAGAATCAAATTAATGTCTTGCATGGATGTTGGTCATCCTTGCAAGCTTCAGGAGTATTAACAATTTGAGGCTTAGTTTATTGTAAATCTTGAAGCCTATTTCATTAAGTGGTGCTCTGTTAAGAACAATATACTATTGCAATCTCATCCACACACAATCTTCACTGTCTAGTTTTAAATATTTAAGTTTCTTGAGGGAAATGTATACCAACAGATTCGAGAACAGCTTCTTCCCTACTGTAATCAGATTTATGAATGGACTTCTCATTAGAGTTGATCTTTGTCCGTACCTTCTCTGTAGCTGTAACGTCATATTTCTGTATTACCCTGATGTACTTGCGTAAGGGCTGATTTGCCTGGATAGCACACAAAACCATACTTTTCGCTGTATCTTCGTACAATTGACTAAATCAAAAAGAGGACTAGTTCCTGGCCATTGACACATTTAAAACTGTACACATTGCTTTTCACCAGTCATTTTGCTATTAGAAATTCACATCCATTGTAAAGAGTGTCTTTTACATAACAGTATAAGAAATCAAGCCCCATGAGCCTGAACTGCCACTCAATATGACCCTAGTGTAACTGACATAGATAAACTTACTAAATCTTCCCCCCCCCCCCACCCCACCAACCCCCAGTCTGAGTTCTGACAAAACACAGATGCCTTTCACTTTTTTAAAAAAAAACTGAATTAGAGTTGCATTTACATGGAGAAACTGCAAATTGATCCATGTGAAAGAGTGGTGTTTGCACAATGAGTTGAGGGAGGGGGAGATCAGAGTGTCTTTGCCTGGTGAAGGATTGAGTGTTGTAGAGAAAGGCTATGCTTTAAATCCATGTCTGTTGTTCCCCCAGTGGAATGAATATGTGTGTCAAATCAATTGGAAGTGTCTCTTATTTCCATTGTACTCTTGATTCCTCTTTTGTTCCTGCTCCATGCCACTTCACTTGTGCATCAACCCCATTGAGTTAATCACTGCTGTACAATGTGAATTAGCTTAGTAGCATAGTTTTACAGTATCTGAAAAAGTGCATAATTAAAGATACAAAGTTTGCAAACTGGAAAGATAATTGAGAATCAATTGGATTGTGGGGAAGATAGGGAAGATCAGTCTAAGATGGAAGATGATGGAAGGATTGTCAAAGTGTCAGTAATAAATATGCTTAATTGTCTAACATTCTTATACAATGTGTAAGAACTGCGTGTATTTTGTTATTAGGTGTCTGTGGTATTTTTCAAAACAGGACGGCCAGGTGACAGGAAGGAAAATTGTTGAGAATCACCTGTTCTAATATCTCCAGCCATGGGAAATGACCTCTGTTTGTACACTGAACCTCATTAGAACCTTGTGTGATTTCAGTAGTATCATTCTCTTACTTGCAAAGAGAAGGGACCCTTCCACAGTCCCTCTAGTTCCTTCTAAATATCTTTCAATCCTTTCATCCCAGGAATTATCTCCACAATGGCCAACATCTATCTGAAGCACAGCATCAGCTGGGCTGTAACAGTATTTAACTATTCAATTCGGCTCCTAAAAGAGAAGTGTCTTTTGCAGGTTTATGTCCCCAAAAGGAGAGCAGGGATACCCTGAGGGCCCTCTTGTGGTGCAATGCTAGTGTCCCTACCCTGGACCAGGAGACCTGGGTTCATGTCCTACCTGTGCCAGAGGTGTGTAATAACATCTGAATAGGTTGTTTAAAAAAGACTGATTAAAATAAAAACAGGGATAGCCTTGATTTCATAATGCGGTTCCCCTGTCTCAAGTCCAATGATACAAAAATAGCATGCCATATACTTGTTCATCATCTTTCTCCCCGCCCCCAGTGGCTCATTTTTGCTTATTCGTTTATGGGGATTCCAGCTCTCAGAACTGTATGAGCTGCTGTTTATAAAGGTTACTGCCCTCATCCTCTCTATGTTAGGAAACTACAGGGCCTGCTTATTTTAGTGGTGAAGGACATTATTGGATAAAGAGGAATTTACTCTGTGAGGGCTCAGAATCTTTGGAATTCCTTGCCACAGAGTTGTGGGGGCAGAGTCCTGGTGTATATTTAAAGCTGAGATAGATTTTTGATCAGTAGGAAAATCAAGGGTAATGGGAAAATGCAGGAAAGTGGATGTGAGGGTTGTTGGATCAGCCATGATCCTATTGAATGACAGCAGGCTCAAGGGGCCAAATGACCTACAGCTGTTCCTATTTCCTATGCGCTCACAATCACTTCTTTTTCATAACCAAGGAGTCACTTGTAATTTTCAAAATACAGTTAGCAACTAGTTTATAGGTTGCATTGGTACAATGAACATGGGTACAGAGGCATTGAGGAAGACCAGCTGTTAGGTTTTACTCATTCCAGATTATATCCCAAAATCATAGTGGGTGGTATTCCTCAGTAACCCCTATGGGAAGGCAGTGCTATAATGGTGATATCACTGGAGTACTAACCTAGAATCTGGGAGAACAGAAATTTGAATCTCATCATGAGATAGTAACAACTGCAGATGCTGGAGTTAGAGACAGTTACAGTGTGGAGCTGGAGGAACACAGGAGGCCGAGCAGCATTAGAGGCGCAGGAAAGTTCATGTTTCGGGCTGGGACCCTTCTTCAGAAATGGGGAGGGTGAAGGGAGCTGGGAAATAAATAGAGAGAGGAGGGGTGGGGCTGGAGAAAGTAGGTGGGATGGTAATAGGTGAGTGTAGGTAGGGAGTGGTGGGGATTGCAGGGAGGGGTGGATAGGTGGGAGAGAAAATGGACAGGTTGCGTCAGGTCGAGGGGGAGCGTTCGTCATGGGATGAGGAGATTTTGGAACTGGTGAAATTCACGTTCAGGCCATTGGACTGTAGGATCCCGAGGCGCAAAAGGAGGTGCTGCTCCTCCAGTTTGTGGGTGGCATCATAGTGACACTGGAGGAGGCCCAGGATGGATATGTCACCCAGGGAGTGGGAGGGGGAGTTAAAATGGTTTGCGACCAGAAGGTGGTGTGGTTTGTTGTGAATAGAACACAGATGCTCTATAAAACGGTCTCCAAGTCTGCGCTTGGTCTCACCAATATAGAAGCGGCGACATCGGGAGTAGTGGATGCAATAGACCACGTTGATGGATGTGCAGGTGAACCTCTGTCTGATATGAAAGGTTTGTTTGGTGCCTTGAATGGAGGTGAGGGGGGAGGTGTAGGGGCAGGTGTAACACTTCCTGCGGTTGCAGGGAAAGGTGTCGGTGGTGGTGGGGTCGGTGGGGTCAGTGGGGAGTGCGGAGCAGACAAGGGAGTCACGGAGAGAGTGGTCCTACGAAAGGCAGAGAGGGGTGGGGAGGGATATATATCTTTGGTTGTGGGATTGGATTTTAGGTGCCGGAGAATTACATTGGATGTGGCGGTTGGTGGGGTGACATGTGGGGATAAGGGGAATTCTGTCTTTATTTTTGTTGGATGTGAGGGTAGAGGTGTGGGAAACAGCATTTACGATCACCAGAGACGGGGGGGAAGTTGTGGTCCTTGAAATAGGAGGATGTGGCTTCCGAGGCCTCATCCCATGACCAACCCTCCCTCTCATCCCCACCCCTCCCTCTCATCCCCACCTCTTTGACCTGATACAACGTTAAGTTAACTTTCCTGCTTCTCCGATGCTGCCTGGCCTGCTGCGTTCCTCCAGCTCCACAACGTGTTATCTCTGAATCTCACCATAACAGATGCTGAAATTTGAATTCAATTTTAAAAAATCAGGAATCAAAATTTATCCTAATGGTGGTCATGTAACCACTGTCATTTTTTTTAAAAATCGTTTAGGGAAAGAAATCTGTTGCTGTCATTTGGTCTGGCCGACGTGTGACTCCTGACCCACAGTAATGTGGTTGGGGAGTCAGTTGGTCTGTGATGCCAATAGCTTTAAATTCCCACACAACCTGAGGTTACCATGAAGCATTCTCCTTCTCAAACTCTTCCCTAGCCTGAGGCACAAACACCCTCAGGTTAAGCCATCGCTTGTCATCTTTCTCTGATGAGAGAACAGCCCTATTGGTGACTCTATCTTTGCCTAATGTGGCTGACTCTGCGCACTCTCTTCTAGATAGGAAATGCTGGTCTGTTTTGTTTTAAAAAATGAAAATGATGCCCTATTCCCATCAAATCATCCTGGATTTCACTTTCTCACCCAATGTCTTAGTATCCGTTTGTACCTCATGACAAACATAAAAAACAGTAACTTTTCCCAATCAAAGGGTTGGTTATACTTTGTTTAGAATCACAAATATGAAAGATAAACATTCAGCATCCCCACTACGGTGAGTCATTTTGGGGGAAAAAAAACACTGATCAATGATGTAAGAAGGAAAACGTTAACATTTCTCCGCCCATCCCCCCACCACTATTTCACCAAAAAGCATTACCCGCAGACGTTTGTTACAATGCTGACTTTGAGGGAGGTTTCTTGTAAGTGTCTCTACATTGGTCGGTGGGAAATGCTCTATCGGCAGATCCGGGGAGAGCTCGGCCTACCCTCACCCCCTCCCCAGGATGGATTGGGGGGGGGGGGTGTATAAGACGTACACAACATCTTCCCCCACCCCCAACGCGCTGAGGCTCCCTTTGAGAGGCGTTTTGTCTTTAGTATCGCACCCCACCCTATGAGCAGCAGTTCCCCAGGATCAGGAATTTGGTATTTCCGTCCGCGTGAAACAGACAAGGTTTTTTTTTCCTGAAAGTGAAATGTTTAGTTTCGAATCGTTGTATTACCTCCTCTCCCGCCTGAAACTCATCCATGGTCCTCTCTCAGCCCAGCGTCTGTTACTACAACAAAACGGAATCGCTAGGGATTGAGGCGGCTCTTGGCAGAAGCATTGTGGGTGGGGATTAAATCCTAAAACATTAACACTCAGCACACAATCTCCTGGTAGCTAATCCGGACAGTCTACCGAACAAATCTGACAGAGCAGGAAAGCCAATCATTCCCCCTGGTTGTATGCCTCAGTATTTATACCAAAACCTTGAAATCGTTTTGATGAACCATCTCCAATCGTATCTGGGAAGCGTCCTTCACGCAATAAGACAAAACGTCATTTCACGGCAGTATAGTTGGCGGCCAGACATGTGAAGAAAAAGTTCAAAGTTTAACTAAATGCCTCGACACTTGGAGAACCTTCATCCCAAATCATCTTCTGGGACCATGTAACAAGAACTGCAGATGTTGGTAAACAAAAATTGCTGGAGAAACTCAGCAGGTCTGGCAGCATCTGTTGGGAGAGAAACAGAATGCTTCTGGTCCTGTGAGCCTTCGAATCACAGAATCCTTACAATGTGGAAACAGGCCCTTTGGCCCAACCAGTCCACACCGACCCTCAGAGCATCCCACCCAGACCCACCCTGCTATAACCCACCTAATCTACACATCCCTGAACACTATGGGCAATTTAGCATGGCCAATCCACCTAGCCTGCACATCTTTGGACTGTGGGAGAAAACCGGAGCACCCGGAGGAAACCCATTCATCAGAACGTCCTGGTATATTTCGCATGTGATGTAAGTGTACACCTTTTTTATTTCTTTTTCAACTACCCTTTCTTCCAGTTGAAAGCCAGCACCACTTTGAGAAGCAGAGCAAAATACTGCAGATGCTGGAAATCTGAAATTAAAAAAGAGAGTTTTGGAGAAACTCAGCAGATCTGGCAATATCTGTGAAGAGAGAAACAGTTCTGAAGAAGTGTCAGACCAGATTCCAAACTCTGTTTCTCTCTCCACAGATGCTGACAAACCTGCTGAGTTTCTCCAGCAATTTCTGTGCTTACCCCTTTTAGAAGCGTGGCCTGCTTTACAATTCAGTGAGCCCCTTTAAGATCATATGCGACTTTGGTGGTTAATAGAGGAAGAACACTACTTTCACAATCACTATCTATCTTTCTTGTGTTCATGGGTATGGATGGCACTGGTAAAACTGTCATTTGTTGTCCATCCCAATTACTTGTCTGTGAAAGTAATAATGAGTCACCTTTCTTGAACCACTCCTGGAGGGCTGTTCTGCTGCAGTGGTAATGTCCCTACCTCAGAACCAGGAGACCCAAGATCAGATCCCACCTGCTGCAGAGGTGCAGGCTGATTAGGAAAATATGAATCATCAATTTCCTAATGGTGTTGGTGCCTCAGAGTGCTTTTGGGGGAAGCAGTTCCTTGATTTTCACCCACCGGCAGTAAAGGAACAGCAATTTAGTTCTAGGTCAGTATAGTATGTGAGTTGGAAGGTGCTGTCAAAGGAGCCTTGGTGAATTGCAACACTACACTTCAAATGATGCACTGAGATGACACACACTGTAGCCAAGGTGCACAAATGGCAGAGCAAAAAAATGGTAAATAAAGCACAAATCAAAAGGGCTGCTTTATCCAGGATGATGCTGAGTTTCTTGAGTTTTGTTAGGGTTGCACTCATCTAGGCAAGTGGAGAGATTCCATTACACTCCATCCTTATGCCGTGTAGATTGTGATCAGCATTGGGCAGTATGGGAGGTGAGTTACTTGCAGCAGGATTCCCAGCTATTGACCTGCTGTTTTTATCACAGTATTTATGTCCTTTTCAGAACAAAGTTTGAACAACATCAGTGATTTGTCTGGACTGTTTTTATTTCTTTAAAATGTAAACAGATGTAAGATATTGTTCTGCTCAAAAAAAGATGTCAGACAGATTTTCGTGGCAGTAATAACAACACAGTGATCAGTGTTCATCATCTTTACTCATTAATCGTCTGAAAATGACAGCAACTTCAGGAGTGCACACATCCAGAGGATTAACTTCTAACAGAAACTGAACTAGATTAGCCATTGTCAATGCTGTGGTCACAGAAGGCATCCTGTAGGCATTTGACAAGCTGTCATATCAAACGTTACTTATAACAGAAAATAAGTGCTCATAGTGTAAGGGTAATGTATTAACATGGCTAGAAGGGGTGAATGTAAGAGGTCATTTTCAGGTTGGCAGATGTAGTTAGGTCACAGAGATAGTGATAGGCCCTCAACTATTTACAGTTTATCTTGATTTTTAGGTGAAAGGGCTAAAATATACAAGATCTTGAGGGACTGGATAGAGTGGATGCCTGGAGGAAGATTCCTCTAGCAGAGGGACAAAAGTTAGGGACATAGTCTAAGAATAAGAGGCCTCACTTTTCAGACAAAGGTGAGGAGAAGTTTATTTTCTCAGGGGGTCAATAGAATTCTCTTACCCAAAATGTAATGGAGGCTAGGTTTTTACATTTATTCCAGATTAAGTTAGATTGAGTTTTGATAGACAAGTCAGGGTATGACGTGCAGACAAGCAAGTCGAGTTAACATTACAAACAGGCCAACCAAGATCTTATTGAATACTGAAGCAGGCATGAAGGGCTGAATGCCTACTCCCACTCCTAAGTTCCCAAGTCCCTAGAAATGAATGGTTTCTAAATTTTGTGGTGACACAAAGTTAGGTAGGAAGGTAAATTGTGAAAGGGGGCTTAAAGAGTCTGCAACAGAGATAGAGATAGATCAAATGACTAGACAAAATATTGGCAGATGGGCTGTTTTGTGGGAAAATGTAAATTTGGCTGCTTTAGCAGGAAAAATACAAAAGCAATTTATGATTTAAACAGAGAGAGATTGTCAAACACCGAGATACAGAGGGATTGGGGTGTCCTTGTGCATGAATCACAAATTGTTAGTGTGCAGATACAGCAAATGATCAGCAGGGCAGGGCACTAAAATAAAACAAAGAACTGTAGTTGCTGGAGAACTGAAACAAAAGCATAAACTGCTACAGAAACTCAACAGAGATAGTAGGAACTGCAGATGCTGGAGAATCCGAGACAACAAGGTGCAGGGCTGGATGAACACAGCAGGCCAAGCAGCATCATAGGAGCAGAGAGGCTGACGTTTCGGGCCTAGACCCTTCATCAGAAAAGGGGGAGGGGAAGGGGGTT